ATAGCAACGGCCAGAATTAGCAGGTAGTAGGAGCTGGTAGCAGCCTATTAATTCAGTGCTGCTGTACGGCTAAGGCTATTATTAATGAATTGGAACAGCCCGCACAGCCGCCGACACCACCCCCACCCGCAGAGTGCGATAAATAAATAATGCTGCAGAAGTCATGCATATGAACAACATGCGTCGGCACTATACTGCAGTAATGGGCAGACGCGGTAGGGTCAGTATGGTAAGCTAATATTTTTCCAACACTGGCGATATGTTTTGGTTTTTTTCGCAATCGCTGCTTTACAAGAAGAGAGCGATTTATCCTCCGACGGCCTGCTCTCTTCTTCTTCTTCTTCTTCTCCTTCTTCTTCTTTTTCCTCTTCGCTCCGTTATCCATACACCCTGCGATGTAATGAGAATGGATGTTGTATTTAGTGTAATTACTCTGAACGCTGCACTGTACGAGGAGGGCGCCATCATAATTCTGGCCCTGGCAATTTGGTTAAACGGGAGAAGGAGAGAGAGAGAGAAAAACGCACACACACACTAAATGACAGGGAGAAGTGTCCATGCAGTGACTGACAAGCAGGCGGCTTAAACAGGCGACATTAACATGTGTTCCAAGTATTAAGAAACAGCTGAACTTAAGCCTCTGTTTACTGGCGGAGTGACTGCTCTGAGTATTTGGCTGTAAATGTAACCTTAAAAAAAATGTTACAAATATTTTCTCAAAAATAAACAATAAACAAGCGCTCATAACCTCTTCAGAATGTCTGAAGAAGGAAAACAAAAGTTAAATAATACTGCAGGTTTGCACGCTATCCTCGTTTTGTAATTTAATTTAATTGTTTTTGTAGAGCAGCAAAGGTCAATTTGGCTCACTGTAATAAGCGATGGTTCGGGGGGAAAAATAAAGAAACCCAAACAAGCGGGCCCCGAGGCGCTAATTCGCACGAAGCGCCTCCCCGCCATGGGCCTATTCTCCCGGGTGCGCGCTTATAGGAGGCTAAATTAAGGGGGAAAAAGGATTTTGAAAACACACATTTCAGACCCACGCTCTGTTTGTTTAGTTTTTTGCTCCCGTAAGCGTCTTGCCGCAGTGCAGACACACGGATGACCACAGGAGAGCATCCTTTTAAAACGAAGCGCAATGCAGAACAAAGTCATCTATATAAATTAAAGCAAGGTGATGCTAAAATGCTAATGACGCATAGGAGAACATATTTGGAAATACTATAATGTGCAGTGAGATTATTCGCTCTCAAACGAGTTTACTGATGGCAAAATGGTTATTGAAGGAGCAGATTATCAGCAAGGTTTTTTTTCCTTACAGGCTTCTTCTCCCTGATCGCTCGCGCTGAGAAATTCGGGCTTATTGTCTGCTGTGCTCCCAGGGAACAGCTGCTAAGCCAAGGCCACATTCCCAGTAAACCCGACTCATCACAACCATTCATCCCACCACCAATCAGCTGCTGCGCATCCATATGTATGTGCTGGTAAACAAGAGACACATATAGGCGTGGAAAAATGACCGGTTTGAGACCGAATCAAATGTCTTGCAATTTAAACACCATATGCTCCCACAACTAATTATTTACGTTGATCCATTTATGTCAGAAAAGATTACGTCAGCCCTTTAAAAAGAGGGGGTGAACTGAGATGATGTGGGTAAAACACCACTGTAGCCTAATTATTATAATTAATATGTAAATATGTATACATTAAATTATTGTATAGTATGTATATTAATAAAATAAGAGCCACATGGTAGCTGTGAATTATTTTTCATATTATAAAAATCCAAGTGCTAAAACAGTATAAAGAAAATATTACACCCGGTTTATAATAAAGAATGTGCAATTGGTACATGAATACATTCCTCTTGTATAAACGTTTGCGTTAAAAAAAAAGGAAATTTGGACTCAAGTCCGAATAGAAGCGTCTGCAATTCAATTAGTATCATTACTTCTTTATTCATTCCGTTCTTCTCCATCTAATAAACTTTATAAGTTTATTTGCTAATGTAAGTGTATTTGTACAAAAGACAAACAAACAAACAATCAGACATGAGCCGTCCTCGTGGTCTGTCTCGGCCCGGACAGAGAGAGTCTTTAGGACTGGCCTCAGGCTATTTGGGCCTATATTAAATACCTCCTTTACTTCTGTAAAATGTCTTTAAATTGGTCTTTTTTGAGAGAGAGAGAGAGAGCACAAGTCCCGCAATGTGGTTCCGATGCAGTTACTCACATCACGTCTTCAACCAGGTTTCTGGTCTCATCGTCTTTGCTCGTCTTGTATCGAGTTCTATCGCTGTCCGGACATGGGGTTAGACAGAGGGTTTAGTGCCGGTTGCCCCCCTGGCCCAAAGCCATGAATGAGCACCCTCGGGACCAGAGGTCTCTGGAGGTTGGGGTGCGGCGCGGTAGGAGTCCGGTACATACTGCTGTACATGGCTGCGGCTGCCGCGGCCGCCGTCGTGCTGTCCACGGTGCCCAGCAGGCTCGGGTGGTAGAAATAGGGCGACGGGAACATTCTCTGTAAGGCCGAGTAGTTTCCTGCTTCAGCCAGCAGCTCTAATCCGACCGCCGTTTGCCTCTTCCACTTCGTCCTGGAGAATCAGATCAAAATACAAGAGATTAATTATTTAATCAGCTCGCGCTCTCACTAATTCCCCAAACGCCCCTTTTAATTGGTATGCAGAGGCCTAATTATTGCAGGCACCACATTATGGTTAAGGTTTAATTAGGCAAAGAAGGAAATATCAAGACAGCAGTGCTGATGTGCTTTGGTCCAAACTTATCAAAGCACACTTGTCTCACACCTAGTATCTAAAATACTCAAATACGCCTTTATTTTGAAGAGTCGCAGGTGAAATAAAAGTTACAGAATGTTTTGTTTAAAATATTTTTACTGTTACATTTTCAGCAGTATTACCGAGGAGGCAAAATGTGCATCAACAACATGTGTGGCCAGAAATATAATAATTTCGTGACATATCCAAATTGACTGTCTGCATTGATTAACTGTTTAAATAGAATATGAGCAGGCCAAGTGAAGCTGCACACCAAAAGGCAAGCAAAAAAATCATCTTAATAAATACATGTTTGAGAACATTTGTAACGTTCTTTTTTTCCTGCAAAATATGCTACATCTTGACACGAGCCAGGACTTTTATTTTTGAATTTGTCATGACGTCTAAATGTATTCAGTCAACAAAAATAAACGTATTTATTTTCCTCTCAAAATACAAAATGCTGAATATTAGATGCGTTTAGAATACAAGTTGAACATGGCTGTGCTGCCTCGGTTTTTGACTTTACATGGATTAGAAATGGCAGTGTCAAAATAAAGGCCTGTCAGACATGCGGGATGTGAATATGACTGGCTGAAATACAAAAAAACTATTCAGCAGCTTTAAATATATTAAATATAAATAAAAAATATATATATGTATCATAAATGTGATGTAGACTAACATATTTCCCTCGTGATTCATTAATACATAATATGTTAAAAAATGTCTATTTGTAAATACGTCTCAGTGTGGTTCTGCTCATGTGGATCACTCCCCTAATAAAGAGTTGTTTGCTTTTACAGGACCAATATAAGGCTCTGTGTTTTTTCTTGTTGTGTCTGCACCCATGTGCTGGTGTGGTGACCTACCGTCTGTTTTGGTACCACGTCTTGACTTGTGTGTCGGTCAGGTTGAGAGCCGCGGCCAGGTCCATGCGGTCCTGCACGCTGAGGTATTTCTGTCGCTCGAAGCTCCTCTCCAGCTGGTTGAGCTGGTGGTCGGTAAAGGCTGTCCGTGCTTTGCGAGGCTTTTTCGTGCGCATCTGGGGACTGTCTCTGCTGCTGGAGATTTCCCGGTCGCCTTCCTCTTTAGCCCCTAAAAACGGTGGAATTAAAATTAAAACATGAAACAATCAGGCCTATACTTCCTCACTCACTGTCTCAAAAGAAAACTTTTTTATTTATTTATTCCTACCTTTCAATACTGAGTCCATTAAAATAAACCAAAAATAACCACGCGCAGGTGCAACGCTCAGCCCTCCACGCCTCCAGTCAAACTTTATAAATACTTGCTCGGAGTTGCTCACACGTGTGGCACGAAAGCGAAGCTAGAGCAATAAAAAAAAAAACACATTTGTGTGCATTTGTCACCTGAAGTTTTTTGTTTTATTATTATTATTTTTTTTATGTTGCTTTTTTTCCTTGAGAAAACGAGAAATCAATATGTCAATCCATCTCTATTTGTAGCTGGTTTCCAGTGCACCATGATCCCCCCTCTAGGAAGAACAATAATCTCTCTAATTGACCCACTAGGGAGGCCTCGCGCACGGGGAAAATCACCAGGCTTACATCTGTTTTCACATCTATTACACTAATAAAGGAAGCTGTAACTCAGACAAAGAATCAGACAGTGAAGCATTCATATTATTAGCATTATTCATATTTTTTTGTTATATTTGTTTTGCTCAATCCCTGGTCTATATTTATTTTTGTTGGCTACACTTTTATTTTTTGTAGCCCATAATAATTCACCTCAACTGCATTTTCAGCAAACGCAACAGCAATAGCTCAAACAGATGAATGTGCTCTTACCGTTGCATTTCAGTTCGCTGTGAATGTCGTCTCTTTTGTCCAACTTCCCTCTGATGTCGTCCTGTTCCAACTTGGGCCTGAAGCCGTCCGGGGCCGTGGCACTTTCTGGTTTTGGCGTGTGATGGGGCGAGGACACACTGGTGCTGTAAGGTGCGCAGGCGGCCAGCGGTTTGCTGTCGCCCAAAATGTCTTTGATTAGGAACGAGGAGGTGGCGCTCCTCGGGGCGCAGCCGGCCCCGGCGAGCGGCTGCTGCTGCTGGGGCGACAGCGGCAAACTCTGCGGCTGGTTGTGGTTGTGGTGGTGGTGGTGGTGATGCTGCTGAAGGCTGTCCTGGACCAGATGCGGATCGGCGGCGTGCTCCATGGTGACCGAGATGGGGGACGAAGGGGCCGTTCCCACAGTGTCTATCTCCGAGCATGGCGAAGGGGTCGCCAGGCTCCTGAAATCCGCGGTCCTGCTGTCGCCGAGGCGAAAATCTCCGTTCATCAGCACGGGGTTGCCAGAGTTAGACGCGCTGGATAAAATAGTGTCTATCCCAAAACTCGACCCACTGGATCCTTCCATGTTAAGAAAGGAGTGATGGAGTCGTCATAACATCAGCGAGGTGCTTCTACTTCCGATGCGAACCCAGGAGAAAGTCAGCAAAAATGAAATCGGGAGTTGCAGGGAAAAAAATAAATTAAAAAAATAGTTGAGAAATAAAAACCCAAGAGAGAAAATCCACGTTTACAAGCGGCTTGGATGGTCCATGGATGTTACATTCAGTGAACATGCGGGGAAGCAAAGTGCGGGGTCTGCGTAGTCCACGTCGCTTTTTGTGTTTGGATATTGAACTTTGTGTTAAAAGTTGAGGCGTATAGAGAGATATACATAGGGCTGACTCCTCGACATCAGGCTCCCCCTTTTTGCTGCTAATCGCTCCAGTGTTGCTCTACAATGACTTCCTATACTGACGTCACGGCCCACGGCGAGGGGGGAATTAATATTTTCTCCTTTATAATAAACACTCGACGCCTTTTCTCCCGGCCCCGCCGCCCCACCTCCCTCCGCCGCCATTGGCTCCCAGCCTGACCGGCTCCGGCGCCTCGCCAATCAGGGAGTTGTTTCTTTATCGAGACAGTTCAAGCCAACCGTTGAGTTTAATTCTAGAATAGCTCTTTTGACAAAAAAAAAAAGGAAGTAAGGAGGAAAAAGCATGCGTGTGCTTTAAGGCCACACTGTAAACAATTGTATATGAAATATCCGAGCTGCGACAGAAAGACCGCGGAAGTGGAAATTAAAACATAAAATAGATAGAAGATTCAAATTCAATTCTGAGCTCTGAACAATTTGATAAAGTCTAACAGGCAGAAATCCAGTGGCTCGAGCACTATGGTAGGGCGAACTATCAATGTATCATTTATTTTCAGATAGCAATTCAGTTTATTGGCTCTTGAAGCTTTATTTTCTTAAGTTACTCAAAGAGAGTAAAAGGCTCAACTGTTGCCATATTTGAACTAAACGTATTTTCAGACCTGATTTGAAATTGAAAAAAAAAATCATTTGGGGGAAAAAACCAACCTATTTGAGGCCATGCTGACATGTCTTCATGGATGTATTCTTCAGAGCCGTGAGGTCGACATATTTAGGAATGGGGAGGAGTGGTGGTGACTGTCATGACAGCGCATCTTGTTAATAACTATGTCATCCTAATTAGTAAAGTAATTATGAGGTGCTAATGAGCGTTCAAAGGTAGTAGGAATTCGGTACTTTCCCCCGTCGACGTGCAGATTTGAGGGATGTGGAGAGAAAATGTGCGTCGCGTTCAGCTGACAAAGTGTCTGCAGGGAGGCTGCACGCTCTCCGGATGATGTCTGTTCGTGGGAAATGTCACTTCTCACACATAGGTGAATGTATGCTCGTGCTCCACTTTTTTTTTTTTTTCGGCGGACGTGAAATCTTCTTTCAGATGGATTTTTCCTTCTCACACAGCCTGCGCACTTTTTCCGGAATTTAAGGATGAATCATCGAGCAGGTTTATCTTATTAGTGTTTTTTTTTTTTTAATCTTCCTCCTCAGCAGGTTGACGATGACGATGATTATTGATTCGAGACGGATGAAGATTTTAAGCTGTTGTTCACGCTCAGAAATCTGGATTCGTAGGTTTGTTTCTGATTTAAATTACTTTTTTTTAAATTGCAATTATCCAGGGACTTTATTAATTCAAACGCCATGTATTGATTGTATAGGTCTTTATTTATATTCTATTGGTATTTGTATGCAGACAATGCCAATACATTTAATGTATACTTGTTAAAAAAGCTACTCAGCCTATCATGTAAAAAAATGCCTTTTAGGTTTTTAACTTCTTTTTCGCCTATTTTTAAATGTCTCTACACTCAGACATGGTTGCGCTTGAAAATAAAAATGTTGAACTAGTATTAATAATTCAAATGCTTTGAACAGCCAACAAGCTGTAGAGCAGCAGCCTCTAATTAACAGCTTTAATATTTTGATTATTCACATATGCTGAAACGTTCAGTGTTTGCCTGTTTTTTGCCCCCCTTGCAGCATGCTGTCCCTGGAACAATTCAATAAGAAATAGTGCATTTCAATTTCTGCATTTCGTTACAAAAAAATCAAAGAGTCAGTTAAATTAAGTTAAAAATGAAATTAATATATTTTAGTGAAATGTCCTTAAATGTTTCGGCGAGTAGAACAGCAGAAAAGTCAGCTTTTATTTATCTAACAGATTAGACGACTTCCTTCTCACTGGAGCTGCACTTTCTCCCGCGCGACGTGCAACGTTCGAGCACAAGGCGGCGACAAAGCGAGTCTGCCGGAGTGTGAAGTTCACGAGCAAAGCTGAGGCCTCGGCTGCCCTTTCCAAAAAAAGACTCGGAGGACTTCGGTATCAAAAAAGAAAAACGGACTTGAACGCAACAATCAGCCGGTAAGCCGTGATGAGGCTGCATCTAAAACAAAAGTCACGGTCATACAGTAACACGATTATGGTGCAACATAAACGATTATCTCCACAGTGAAAACTAATTAGAATACTCTGTCCACACGCAGCCAATAATCAGGCCTTTCCTCAACCTTATTCCCCTGCAAATCGCTCAGATCACATCGAAGTGATGCTTAAACATGTCAGTCATTCTGTGTGTGTGTGTGTGTGTGTGTGCGCGTGTGCGTGTGCATGCGTGTGTGTGTACAGGCGCATGCGGGCTGTTCATCAACCGCAAACAGGAGCAATCAATCGCTTTATTATCTCTATACGGCGCCGCAGGAGCTGATTGAACGCGACCAGTTAGGGGTGTCGTCTTATTGGCCTCAGCTGATGGTCGATGATGGGACGGCGCAACAGTGGCGGGCATCCGTATCGATTCTCTGGCGGCTTTGCGCATAAGCTGTCACTTCACCGCTGGCGACCTTTGGGGTTGCACAGTGGCGGCGTTTACAAGGAGACACCCCCGCATTTAGACTGTCAATCACTGCGGACCAGCGATGGAGTGAGCTTGAGAGAGAGAGAGAGAGAGAGAGAGAGAGAGAGAGAGAGAGAGAGAG